TGAACACACGCATTTACACATTCACACAAGTTGCAGAAAGCGAGAAAGTAAGGAAAGAATGAGTTTAAGGAAATGAAAATGTGAAATCCCAAGTTTACAGCAATATGTGAAAATGCATAGACATGAACAACCATCAATCACTTAATTACCCCTCACATTGAGTTCATCATTGAGGTTAAAATTATATTAAGTGCACCAGTTCAGCTAGAATCTGGAGGTACTTGCTTGCCTGTGAAAGGGGTTCCCTTCCTTGTCTGGTTGCCGAAAGGGGTTTCCCGAGGTTGCTGATTGGCTGGAAGTTCAGTCTTGGGAAGCCAGTGGTTGGGCGTTGGCTGACGACGTGGAGTTGTGGTCTGGTTAAAGTTTTAGACGGCACTCGAGGTCGGATTCGGAGACACGGCGTTAGGCAAAACTTAACTCGGAACACGAAACTCTCAACGGAAAAAGAAGAAACTAAAGTAAAGAAATAGAAGTAAAGTTTGACGAGACTAGGGTGAAATCCCAAGTTTACAGCAATATGTGAAAATGCATAGACATGAACAACCATCAATCACTTAATTACCCCTCACATTGAGTTCATCATTGAGGTTAAAATTATATTAAGTGCACCAGTTCAGCTAGAATCTGGAGGTACTTGCTTGCCTGTGAAAGGGGTTCCCTTCCTTGTCTGGTTGCCGAAAGGGGTTTCCCGAGGTTGCTGATTGGCTGGAAGTTCAGTCTTGGGAAGCCAGTGGTTGGGCGTTGGCTGACGACGTGGAGTTGTGGTCTGGTTAAAGTTTTAGACGGCACTCGAGGTCGGATTCGGAGACACGGCGTTAGGCAAAACTTAACTCGGAACACGAAACTCTCAACGGAAAAAGAAGAAACTAAAGTAAAGAAATAGAAGTAAAGTTTGACGAGACTAGGTGGCGTTTCTCCTCATGGTTTTGGAGGAGCTGGCGTGTAAGCTAGCGCACGCTCAAAAAGCTTAAAAAGCATGACTAAAAAGAGAGAATTGACATGACTAAAAAAAGCTAAAGAGCTAAAAAGGCGATGATTAAAAAGCATAGCTCAAAGCTATGACTAAAAAGCCGCATGGCTAAAAGTGATGACTTGAAAGCACATAGCTCAAAGCTATGACTAAAAAGAGAGAAGGGGAAAAAGGGGGTTGATTTGATGGCGTCCTGAGTATTTAAACTGGGAGGTGGGGGAAGTCAATCCAAAGAGCTCGTGATCGTCACTGGTTTACATGTGATGGTCATGCTGTGCATCTCTGACCATTTAATCGTGATTACTTGCCCCCAATCTCCTTGGAATTGTCAATAAGTGTTCTTTTGTTTAAATGCTGTGAGCTACTCAAAGCTGCTAGTTCAGGCTTGTTGCGCCAGGATCTGATTTACGAACATCCTGTGTCTTGGGCCTCTGTGGAATTCGGCTCCTCGTGTTTCAACTATGTTCTATTTAAATCTTAAATTGTCTGATTCGGTCTGATACCCTACACATGACAAGTCATGATTATGTGTGACTTTTTGCTGAATTAAAAATTCAGGAACTGTTCAAAAATGAGCCAAAAAGAGACATTGCTTTTTAATTTTATAATTACAACATAATTTGTGCATTCTCCAATTACATATAGCTGCAGACCAGAAATCTCCTTCTGGAGCACTCAGAGTACAACTTGAACTCAAGCCGCCATTTTCTTCTTCTGAAAAAAAGATGTTTCTGTATAACATGTTGCTGTATAAAGAAGAACATAGTTTATCTGCAAGAGATGACTAAAGTTTACTAAAATGTCAATATAAAAGAACATCAGTTCACAATTTCAGCTGTCAGTTATAAAGGAAAGTGTGAAAATATTTGGAGGAAACACATAAAGCACACCACACCTGTAACAGGTTTGTGACGGAATTGAAATTAAGACTGATCTAATAGGTTCTTTTTTGAAGAGGGGTCTCACTCATAAGGGGAAGGTTTACTTGAAGGTTAGAGTTCTGTAAAGCTGCATGTCTGTCAGCAGGTGATGTTATCTGCAGGAGCTGATGTCACATTTCTTATATCTTAGCAGTTGTAGCGATGTTGTGGTGAGCCCTCCTTTTACTGTAAACACTAATTGCTCTTGTGTGTGTGTGCACGTGCACTGCGGTGGCATAATCTACAAACTACAAGAAGGACATGACTTTTCTCTCATAGTGGTATCAGTTCCACTGAATAAAACCAATGAGTTGACAGCTCATAAGTGTGAGTAACAGTTAGGGAGACAGAGTTAGCAAATTAAGATTAGATGAAGGTAGATAAAGATGTTTTGGAAAATAAACCCAAAATAGAAACCGTTATGGCAGCTCTCAGACATAATGTACAACGTTTTAATCTAAACTCAGGATGAAATGATGAGCTTCATGGATTCTGTGTGATTGGATGTTATTCAACCACTGGCCTCACTACTAATCTCATATCTCAGAATGAGTAGCTGTTGAAGAGCTAGTCTTTTTTTACTCATGCTTTTACTCAGAATGAGACACAAGACCCTTTTCATCTAAAGTGTTTGTGTGTACATGCATTTGTTTCAAAGGGAGATGGAGAGAAAGAGAGAGTTTGTTTTGGAACTAGTTAAAAGTTAAAACAAGAGAGAAAACCTTTAATGGAACGTTTGGGGTAGAGGAAAAAAGAGGCGCAGGAGAAATATCAACAGAAAGCACATGCTGCTGCTATTGGGGGTCCTAGGTAGAGTCATTTATAACGTTGGTTGAACGTTAGTTTAAATATGACTCATCTGACATTTATGATAAAGATTTAATGCTGAAGAGTTGTCCCCTCATCTTCAAAGTTTCAGAGGGGCCTGACTAGCTCACATCTCTCGTCTTTTTCTCATTGTCTCCTGTCTTGTACACACTTTCAAGGTAAGACTGCACTCACTGACTTCTACAGACTTTACGATCTTGGTGCGTATTTAAAGGATGTGTGATTTAACAGGGATGGTAAAAAATAGCAAACTGATGGAGATGTACCATGTGATGTTGCAGCAAAGCTATAATGATCTTATTGCAAGGATGTTTTTATCAATGTCAACTAAAAGGTAAAATGAAAAACAACTACAGACAACTACAAAAACGCACGTAACTAGGTCAAGCTGAATTTAGTAAGCGAGGGGCCGGATCTGTCTGTTGTTTGTTGTAACTATGCTCAAAAGATCATTGTATAATCGTTGACACAATGTCTTATTTCATTCACTTATTCGTACAGAGTATAGAGATGAGAAATGCAAAATAAGGTTATTGACTTATTCTTTTTGTTTCAACAAAATTGTATTTGTTTTGGAATAAAAGTGATTTTAAATATACAACTTATCAAAAGTAATATATATGTGTGTGTGTGTTTGTGTGTGTATGTTTATTAAATATTGTTTATTGTTTATTAAATGTGTATGTGTATACTGTATATATATATATATGTGTGTGTGTGTGTGTTTGTGTGTGTATGTTTATTAAATATTGTTTATTAAATGTTTATTCACACACACACACATATATATATATATATGTGTGTGTGTGTGTGTGTGTGTGTGTGTGTGTAATTGATCATATTTGTGACAAAAGATCAATATAAAGGAAGTGAACCTAATATAAATGTAAAAAAAACCCTGTTATTTATCAGTAATTATTGCATTAAACATTTAACAGGAAGTAAGGGCAGTTACAGCCAAGTAATATATTCATGATTTTTATGACTCTTTACATTCTCTACTAACACATTTAAAGTCATTCCAGGTGTCATGTGTCATTCTGAACCTTCACGCGCCTTTTTTTTCTCTTCCAGTAAGATGCTTGGCTTGCTCAGTGTCCTCCTGCTCTCGTCACATGTCCTTCCTCTCGTCCAGTCACAGCAGTGCAATGAAAGAACAGAGTACTTGAAAGACAATCGGTGCTGCAAAAAATGTAAACCAGGTAAACGAAATCAGCTGCCTCATCACTGTGAGCAGAGTTGAGTCAGAGATTAACTCAAGATGAGTTAAAAGAACTAAGCTGTTCTTCAGTTAAGATTAGATAATTAACATAAAGTGCACTGAGGCAAAAAAAAGTTGAGTTTAGAGGTCTGTATTAGTTTGAGCCAATGTTCAAAAATCTAAATCATGGATTTTATAGTAGGAAGAATCTAGTTTTAGAGACAAATTATTATGGAATTGGTTTCAGACTATTTTGTGCAGTTTGAATCAAGACTGCTTAAACTTTGTTGAGCTTTTTGAGGCGTATTTCAATTGAAAAAGTCAGGATGTAATCTTTCGACATATCAAAACCGGTTGCATTATGTAAGAATATTTCAGGGTTCAGCTATAGTCTGGTTTGATGACATTTACTTAAGGTCTTAGAATGACACATCAAGTTTCTCGTATGAGGATGACTTGTTCCCTGAACTTAACCTGGTAGACTCTCAAACCAGTCAGCGTTGAATACCGTGTTCATGAATTGTCTGTACAGCCAGCATGATTCTGCCACACTAATGTCTCATTGCATGCATGTTTCCCTGTCTTTGTGTGTATTTATACAGGGCAGCTTATGACACAGAAATGCGGAGTAGGAATGACTGACACTCAGTGTTCCCCATGTGGAAATGGCTTCTTCATGGATGAATATAATGTCAATAACAACTGGTGCAAACATTGCACAACGTGCACCAAGGAATGTATGTCCACTCAATTTCTTTATGATCACAAAACAGCTTGTAGGTTCTTAGAATGATATGTTCGGCTATGTTCTGAATCTTTAGATGAATCAGAATGAAAAGTCATGATCTAGAAATACCAAACATGACAGTAAAACAAAGCAGGGGCTTCCCCTTCAGCAGATCTTGGGTGGGTTTTTAGTATGGAGGTAGGTGGGGGTCTGAAAAACGTCTGAGTCTCTAGTAACAAACATGATATAGGACAGCAAGTCTTGAAAATACACGTGTAGCACTGGAAAAAAAAAAGCACCTGAGTGGGGGAATTTATTCTTTGAAACGGAAATAACTGCCTACTTAGATGTCTTGAGATGTTTTGATATGCAGATGTCCTGCTAAAGACTGAATTAGACAACAAGTAGAAACAAAATACTTGTAAAATGGCCGTTTGGGAAGAAAAGGAGATACAGCAAGCAATATAAGAGAAACTAATATTTGAAGTAACTGAACAGGCTTGCTGGTTAAACTTGAAAAAAGAAGCCTTGTAAATTATGCAGAATGTTTGCAGATTGTCAGACATGTTTTCTGAAACTTGTACCAAATGATACTTTAGTTCAGATTGTAGATGCCTATGGTCAAATAACCAGGCTAAGGAGTCTTGTGGTGAAAAGAGATGAGCAGAAATGAAAACTGAATATCCTCCTGAGGTGGCATGAGTTATTTGTGAGTCAGCAGAAAAGAAAAAAAAAACCTGTTTTTGAGCTTGCTGTTTTATTTTGACACTTGTGTCTTGTTGAAATGACTGTGTTCTCATATGAGTGCAGGCACCTTTGTGTCCTAAAGGGTTTATTCATATACTCAAATGAGGAGATTTCAGCTTTTTCTTTTTGTTGTAAGATGGTCAGCATTTGTTTGAAATTGAAGTCTTTTGTAGCATTATAAATGCCTCTGCAGTCTCTTTAAAAATTATATTTTTAAATGAACGTTCAGGGAAAAAATGAAATGAACTATTGAGTTTGATAAGTGTGAATTAAGGGAGTGTCACAGTTGAAGAAACACTGATATACATAACCCCTTTCACTCTTTTAATTGGGCAGATATGAAGAATATGAAGGACTGTACGGCGACAAGTGATGCAGTGTGTACATGTGAGGAGGGCTACAGATGCAGTGACAGCAAATGCCAGACGTGTGAGAAAATTCAGACAACTACTGTTACTACTTCTACTCCTTCTACTAAAACAATACCGCCCACCCATGGTGAGTGCCTGAACCCTGACCCGCTGTTGTCAGTCTGTTAAAATAGTCTCTGTTGAAGGCAAACAGACAATCACACACACAGAGTATATCAGGTGTATTCTCTATTGACCTGTTTACTCTTTCTCTCTCCTTTTCCCCATCCATTTGCTCCTTTTCTATCAACCTCTTCCAGATAATGTGTGGATCTCGGTGAGTCTGTGTTTTGCGTGTGTGTGTGTGTGCGCTCTGCTCACCTGTTTCCTTCTCATCAGCAGACATGCACGACCATGTGGATGGATCATGTCAACATCAATCGGTCAGTGCCACTGTAAACAACACATCGATGTTTTAATTCACAAAGAAAACCTTGGAACTGCTCTTTATAGACCTGCATGAGTGCTTGATATACTGACACTCCATTGCATGAGTTTTAGTATGTTGTGTTTTGGTCATTCCTGTTTTGCAGTACTTTTTGAATGAATTAAACTGACACTGGTCAAGCTCAGACACTTTATAACTGAATTAAATTCAATGTAAACTTTAATATTAAAATCTGATTTAACCCCAATAATTTTCTTAATAATATAAAATATAATATAATATATTTCCCTGCCTATAGCCTGTATATCTAGTAATATAATATAATATAATATGATATGATGGACTGAACAATTGTTTTGAGTGTTTCCCTGACTATAGCCTGTATATCTAGTAATACAATATAATATAATATAATATAATATAATATATGATGGACTGAACAATTGTTTTGAGTGTTTCCCTGCCTATAGCCTGTATATAATATAATATAATATAATATAATATAATATAATATAATAATTAAAAGGATTGGAAAGCAATAATGATAACAGGAGAAACCTATACATTTGTTATCAATTAGAACAATATTGTTTTAATTGATCAAAACAATATTAAAGCTAGACATGTTCGAAGTACAGATCACCCAGGGAGATAATAAAAAAATCCCTTAATCCACTTAAAATTTAGTGAAATTATTCATTTTAATGCACCTCTATAGTCACTTAATTATAATATTATGATAAGGAAACTAATTAATGTGATTTCCATATTTTAAAATTGTGAGTTTAATATTTCACCCACATGAAATTGTACTGTGTAACAGGAATAAGCTTTAATAATGTGTATTGTACTGGGTCATCAGGTCTCTGCCCCTCCAACAAGAGCATCTTTGGATCCAGTCAGTGCACAGAGGAAGAGGAGGTACCAATGCCAGTGCAGGAGGTGTGTGGAAAGACTGAAAAACTGGAGGATGTCTGAGAAAAGAGCAGGAAGAAGACCGCTGATGCGTCTATGGATTGAGTATTTACTCTAATACAAACCTGCTGCTGCCATTTACGCAAGAGAAAATCTGCACTCAGGTGGCCCATATGAAGGATCTGTGAGAATGACTGTCCATCCTGAGAAATGCTGAGATAGAGAGAGGTTTGAGTTGCCACTGCACATAAGGAGACACTCAACATACAACATAAGGGCTTATCTTTTTCAACAAATGAAGGTTTTATTCTCTGCACGCTTGTTTGTATTTATAATCGAGTAGTTTTTGCACAACAAGCCCATGGACTTTTTAAAATCAAGATTTGATGTTCAAATGTATACGAATGTATAAGGTAAAGTTGAAGTTTTTCACTATTTTGTAATAACTGTAAAAATATGTCTCAAAACATTAGGAAGTTATAGAAGCTGTATGTATAAAATGATAACAGAATGAACAAAACATTTTAAATATGTTATGGGAATATAGCATGTCAGTTACAAGAAATATTTTGTGTCAGCTACCATAAAATAGAAAACAGAATTGTAGTTGTATTTGTATTTGCGATCTTGCAGTGAAATTAATTAGGTACTCAGGGAAACATACCAAAAAAATAAACCTTTATTGATTTTATTGCACTTTACAATTAATATCAAGCTTAAAAAATGTGTATTATAGTGAATATAAAACATAATATATGATGGATGAAGCCATTGCTTATTGAAACAACGTTGACATTTCCAGACCACCATCAAAATGTTAGGGCTTTTTGATGGCATAATCCATCATGTCTGTCGCATAAAAACCAAAGAAAAGAGGAAGAACACTGACAACATTAACCAGGGACTTAACGTGATCGAACACTGATAAACTGCATGAGAACAAAAAAACTGTTTTTGTTTTTAACAACTGTAATATAATTAATAAGAGTTACAAATAAATAAAAATGTTTTGTGACTTGAATAAACTTTACATAAAATAAATATCTCAACATATGTGAATCTTTGGTCTTCTGAGGGTTTCAGAGGGTTCCTGTTCACTGTTCCTGAGGGTCAGTCAACCATCATGAGCCTTTGGTGTCGACTCCTCATGCAGTCAACATCAGCATCCCACTGCCGTTCTGATGGTTTAGAATCAGTGTTTCCGTGTAAACGTACATTATGGGTAATACTACCAAGCTGGCATGAACTGTCAAGCTCATACGCAACACTTATGTCGTCCATACTGTTAGTCAAACACCCAGGTCTTCCCCTAACGCAGCCTGTTGCTCGCTAGATGAAATCCCCTGCCAGCGTTAGAGTTTTAATACTGGGTACTCACAAAGCATCAGTTAAAACAAACCATGCAGCAGCTGAACAGCACGGAAGAAGAACGGACACAAGTATTCCATCATCCCTCACAGCACCTCTTCTTTAGATATGTGGCACTCTTTCCCTTGCTCCTGAGATGGGAAGAAGATAAAATCGTTCTCTCTGCTCCTTTCCTCCTCAGACAGATGGACGGGGGGAGACTGAGGGTAGGACACGTTGGTGTTGTTTAGTGATTCTTCTTGGAGTTCTTGTGCTTTTTTCTCGCCACCATCCCATCCAAATTGATTGAGCAAACTAACAAAAACTGTCTGGGGACCGTAGATGTGAAGAGGGCCTACGAGAAAGTGAGAATGTTGAATTTTCATACTATTTGAACGTTTGCTTGGTTTGTTGTATTTTTTTTATGTGGGGGGTGTCATGTATGGAAGCCCGTTTTGGCCACTGAATAAAAAATAAAACAATGTAATTGCGACTTTTTATCTCACAATTCCAACTTTTTTTTGTCACAATTGCGAGTTTACAACTCAAATTTCTGACTTTTTTCTCAGAATTGCGTCATATAAACTCGCAATTCAGACTTTTTTCTCACAGCAAGTTTATATCACACAATTCTGAGATTTAAATTTAAAAGATTTATAAAGTCCAATTCTGAGGAAGAAAAAAACCTACTTTTTATTTAGATAATTTTCTTACAATTGTGAATTTATATCTCACAATTATGACTTTTTTTCCCCTCAGAATTGTGTTTAAATCTCGCAATTCTGACTTTTTTCTTACAATTGCAAGTTTATAAGTCAATTCTGAGAAAAAAGTCAGAACTTCGAGTTTATATCACGCAATTCTGAGAAAAAAAATTGTGAGATATAAACTTCACAATTGTGAGAAAAAACATAACTCACAATTACCCTTTTTTTTATTCAGTTGCGGAAACAGGCTTCTATGGGGATATATATATTACTGTATTTATATATAAAATGTATGTATGTACAGTATATACACACACACACGCACATTATAATAATATTTTTTTATTATTATTTCAATGATTATATGTTTGGTTATTTAATTCTTATATACTATTTCATTTATTATTGTATTATTAATAATTCATACAAATGTCATCTGGTAGAACTGTGTAACCATCAAGTCAAAAGTATGTTATACATTTAGTTTTATACATACATGAATATACATATGGTCAATTATATTTGGGTGTGTTCATGTTTTGTATGGTTGTTTTGTTTATGCTGTAATATTTAGTTTTTCGTGTTTATAGGACCCCCTTGAAAATGAGATGTTACATCTCAAGGGGCTATCCTTTCAATAAATTCAAAATTAAATGTATGTGATATTTTAAGCAATTTATTGACCATAAGGGTCTGCAGTAGTTCTCTCTATGATATCATTACCTGTTTTGTTTTTTACTGCATGTTTGTGTATATTGGTTTGGCCACATGACATGATTTCACAGTCAAATCAAATATATAAAAAAAACATTAATAAGCAGTGAAGCAGTTTTGTTAATAAATAATAATGAAAGATTACACCAAACTACTTGACAAAACTTTTGCTTTTCAAGAATTTCATTATTTTAATGTTTATTTATTTATTCATTTTTTAATAATGGTATCATTCACATTTTTTTTAGTTTATGCCCCTCACTTCATGCCATAAAGATGTATATTTAGGTCATATTTTTAAACAAATTAATAGATCTGGAAAAAATGAGCTTCATGATTCTTTTAATAAAAGAAGAAAATCACAAAAAGCAGCTCTTTATAGTACCTAAATTGCCAGCTGGAGGCACAGCCTGCTCTGAGCTGATTGGCTGATGAAACGAGCAGTCTGTGTTGTGATTGGTGGGTGTGCTGCCATGTGACAGCATCTCCTGGGCATGGGCCTGCTCATTTGGTTGGCTGGTAGGAGGTGTAGTCTCACTGTCCACCTGAAGAAAAGAAGGACTGTGAGTCAGATGATTCATGACATGTTCACATACTACAGAAATGTGCATTAACTCTTTACTTACCTCCATATCACCCAACGAGCACTGCCTGACAACTAATGAAGAGAAGAGACCGTGAGAGGTAAGATTAACCCACAAAACCTCTGAGAAAAAATGTGTTTGCGTTCATATGTGTGTGTATTGTGTTACTCACAATGCTTAAAACATTCCTTCTCTTTCTTCCTGCAGAGCCGGAGGAACAGCATGAGGATGATGACGGATAACATTACAGAAATGAACCCACATAAAACCAACACCACAACACTATTGTCACCTGTAAAATAAATACAAGGATGTAAGGTAGCATAACTATTCATGTTGAGATGAAGAGTTGAATAG